GTCTGTTTTAGTGATTTCGAAATAAATGAATTAAAAATTTAAAATAAATTTTTGAAAAAAGTTATGAAGTGAACCAATTTTCTTTTGAATGAAAGATAATTAAAAACGAGAAAAAATAGAGTTGACCGTGTCAGCTCTGCGATATCCGTACGAATTTGTTATCCTACGTGCGAATAAATTTGCCATAACTGACAATGGGACAGACTATGACTTTAAATTGCCGCATTTCCATGTTAATTTATACAAAATTTCAATACTGTGTTTTTCAAAATACTGTGTATGTCAAGCTACTTTTGAAGTTGCATGGCAGCTATTAGAAGGAGTCAAGCAATTTTAACTACTTTTATCAAAAACATTGGCCCTACTAATATATTCGCTTGTGTGAAATTTCAATACCACAGCTTTTATAGTTTCAAAGATATAGCCAAATAACTTTTGAAGTTGTATACCAGCTTCCAGAAGGAGCTAAGTAATTTCAACGATTTTAATCATACACATTGGCCCTACTAATATATTCGTTTGTGTAAAATTTTAATACTACAGCTTTTATAGTTTCTGAGACCAGTACCCCGATCATGTCCAATTTAAAAAGGGTTCTGGCACTTACTACAATAAATCATTTGGGGAAATTAGGTGAACTTATCTAAATTAGTTTTTGAATTATCGCAGAGACTGACGGGCGGACAAGCAAAGCTCAATCAACTCAGAATTCGATGCTGATCAAAAACATACACCTAAATCTATATCTCAGAGCATTATTTCTTAGCGTTACAAACGGTAACGCAAATTTAGTATACCCTTTGAACATGCGTTCGTACGGGTATAATAAAAGCGACTAACTTATATCTGATGTAAAACAACTAATAGTAGTCTCATAATTATGGACGAAGTGAAAGAAAAATTACTTTTTCATTTTCGTTAAATTTAAGACGTTGTTGCGAAACTGAAAATATGGTTTTAGGTGACTTAAATTATATTAAAAAGGAAAAAATATATATTATTACTACATTATTTGATTTTTTACTCTCTTTTTAAATCATTGTCACCAAAAATATTAAAAACAGATTGTCATAAAAAACATAAACATTAAACATATAAATAAACTTCAAGTAAAAATTAAAAATTTAAAAATAATTGTTTCATTAAATTTAAGAATGGTAATAGTATATTCTCCCTCTGTCTAATCTGCTAAATCTCTAGTCTTACTCGTTTTTTAAAGTCTTAAAGTCTTAAAGTATAAAAAACGGTAAAATATTTTAGGAATTAAATTTTTTGAAATCTGTTTGGTGGCTCTTTACATTTAAGAGAGTTTCAAAAAGTATTTCAATTACAAAAAGGCTTCATTGTGCAACGGATCTGATAAAAATGTGCCAATAAAGTTATAGCATGAAGTTATTTATATGTGGTATCCATTCGTTTTTGTTTAAAACACTTTTTTGAAAACAAATTTCATCAAGGCACAGTGTAAAGCATGCTTTACAAATTTCAACCTTACACGTTTCGTATTGTAAATTATATTGTAAATGATATTTACGTTCTCTCAAATGGCTGATATGTTATAATCTTGCATGTTGTTTTTGTTTCAGATATACCTATTAATGAGAAAACATAAACTATTTTCTACAGATATGTTCTCTTGCCCAATAGGACTCAAAAATTTGCTCTTGCATGTTATTGGAGATCATACAGCTGTAGTTTTACGACAAAAGAAACTTGATAGCCTTTTCAGTTTCATTGAAATTCATTTCCCAAATTCCTATCATGAAAGCCCTTTTTTTTGAATATTTCTTTAATTTGTTTTGCTTTGAAAACGAGTTGTCTATATTTTTTTGAACATCTTTTTCTATTTTATTTTTTTCAATGAACCCGTCATTTATGTCGGATCCTGAAGAATTTTCCTTTAGAAATTTTAAAATCAGGATCATTAATACAGTCACAACAAAAGTCAATTGGTTTTTTCAAAACAATATTTACTTCGGTTTTGAAAGTAAGATGTCTTGATGCTTGTTTATTTACTATAGGATTAGTTTCGCTAATTTCTATGTTTCAAAACACTTTGCCATATTGCAATACCTTTAACATCCGCTCCAATCATTTCATTTCTCCTAGCAAGTTCCAAAATTTTTAACATACATTTATTTAAAGTGGATAAATTTTTTGTTGGATAATTTTTACGTTACTTAAAACTTCCAACATTAATACATTAAAAAAAACTGATGCGGTCAGCACATAACGGACCGCAATGTTTCTAGTTAGGTGAAAACCTTACAGAATATTATAAAAATACCTTTTTTATACTTCTTTCCTATTTTTAGGGCATTAGTAAGTTAATTCTAGTTAACACTCCTCTTAATAAAATTTGGCTCTTAGTACAGTTTCGTTTTGTGCTACCCGAATTCCCTTAAATGCTCGCCTGTTAATTACGGCAACAACTTGAACTCAAATATCAAATTTCAAGAAATTCCATTAATTCGTTCCGCAGACTACGAAATGTAAAATCGGCTTTCAGATCAGTTGACGAGCCCTGATCTTTCCAAAAAATTTATATCTTCATTGATTTAATACGAAGAATTTAATTATTAAATTTCAAAGAAATAGGTTGATTATTTCTCTTTATACACGCAAAAATGTTTTTAGTCAAAAGTTAGGAGGTGCCGCGGACGGTCGAGCGAAACTTATATATGAAATTTCAAGTAAATCGTATAAATGTACCCTTTATAATGATCAAAAATGTAAAACAAACCCGCTGAAAGTGCAGTAATATATCCGAAAAGCTTATCAATCCGTGGCACAGTCGAAATAAACTTACATATAAAATTTCATCAAAATCGGTTCAGCCCAACTTGAGGCACACGCGTGCACACGCAGACCGACAGACCGACAGACCACATAACATAAAATATGTTAAGCATTATAAAATATTTTTTATTATAAAAACAAAAAAAATATTCTATACTGATTATGCGTTATTTCGAACACTAAACTCTTAATTTTGATGTTTTGCTCTTACTTGCACGCGTTATAAAAACTTGACTCAATATAAGAAACCTTATGGAATATAATAATCGTATTTGCAATAATCGCCTAATCGAGATGAGTTTTAACAACCAACAATTATTATTTGACACAAATCGTTTATCTCGAGTTAGTATTTGAATAAACTCGAATTAATTTTGCTGCAAAAGCTTAACTAATACACATAAAAAAAAATGTCACTAATTTTGGTTTGCAACAATAGCCTATCCCGAAATAAGTGGTTTGCCAAAAATATAAAAAAGATGTTTTCTGTTTTTAACTCGATTTAGGCAATCAAGTGCACATAATTATTATCATTTCGAATTAGGTAATGTGTGAATTTGACAGTAAGTCTGGCTACAGCAGTAGTAAAACCATCAAGTTTTGTGAGCACATGACACTCAAAACGGAGAATTCACTGGTATCTCATTTTTCTCTTAAATCGAGTTAGGTGGTTTGTGTTTGAGGCCACTGATATATCTCCTATATTAAATTCAAAAATATATCAGAAATTACTCCAACAAAGCGTACATTAGTGTTAATACATATTGCTGCTTATGTTATTAGAATTTACACCTAGAAATCAACATAATGCAACAACATTAGCATAATATGATAATTTGAATTAGTAAAGTGTTGTATTTTTTTTACCTCGCTGAAAGCTTTTTGAATTTATTTTTATAGTAGTTTGTAACTACTTGAAGGAGTCATCTGCGGTATGGACATATACATATATATCATATCTTGCTCAGCGTAAAATCTGCGTTGATATAGATATGTCCGTCTGTTCGATTGCACGATAACTTAGAAGCAAATAATGCAATCGACACCAAATTTTCACAAGTTTTTCTTTTGTGCTAAGGACGAACCCTGTTCGGACTAGTTGAGCAATGGGTTCGGGTAGCTGCCATACAACTCAAAGAGGTTCTTTTAAATGTTTCAAAAAGTAATAGAGACATTAATATCAAACTTGGCAAAGATGTGCTCAATTACACATTACATATGTTCTGAAAATTTTAATGGAATGGCTGCACTGGTTCGCTTAGCTTCCGTACAACTCCGAAAGTTAAATTTAAATGTTTGGAAAAATAATAAAGATAGATTTATTGAAGTTTTGGTGGAATTGCTTGACAGATTCGGGTAACTGCCATACAACTCCGAAAGTTAATTTTAAGTATGTATGTCCACTTATAGGTCAGACATAATAATCATGAAGTTTATATCGATAGGTTTGATAGATCCAAGTAATTACCATCTAGCAATCAAACTTATTGCTAAATATTTTAAAAACAAATTTTTAAACTGAAATTGTCAAAGTGCAGGGTATTATTCAGTCGGTTTATACCGCCTCTAGCACTATTGAAATTCAATCGTGATGGGGATATTTGTCTTTTGTTTGTGAAATTTATGTGGACAGATTTACTTTTATTTAGCTTCATTTTCCATTTATTTGCCCATTCACTTATATTTTTATTTGCTTTGGGAAATTTTTTTATCGATTTTTCAACATTAGATCCCGCTGCCAAAAATTCTGTATCGTCGCAAAATGTAGTCATGTATTTTATAAGGCCCATAATACAACCTTGGGGCACAACAGCTCAAAAGGCAGTTTCATTCTCGAAAGCTGTCAGGTAAATGTGATTCAAGTAGTCCTACGAATAGCAAAGATATCAATTTCGTTAGTGTAAAAAATAAACAGTCGTGCCAAGCCTTGTCGAATCTGGAAATATTTTTGATCATATTTGCTTTTCTTCTAACGCCTTTTCCACAATATTTGCTATTTTACTAAGGAACTGGTCTGGGGGCCGATTTTACATTTTTTACCATATCTACGAAACGAACTAGTAGACCCAAGCAGCAATGGTAGTGACAATGTGCCATCTATTTTCGACTGGGTCAAAAATTAGTCGCAAATCCGGTGTTTGTTACTTTAATATCTAAAACAAAGTCACAAAAACTTTTTTGACACAAAAAAAGTAGCAAAAACGTAGCGAATACTAAAATTTGCGACCATGTAGTAAGAAAAAAAAATATAAAAAATGGCCTCTATGTAGTGAATATTAAAGAAATAATAACGTCTTTGCTACCTTTAATAGCTACTTTGTCGACATAGTAATTTTCATGACATCACGGAACGTCGCAATGAACATAATAACTTTGTCATTCGGTACGTCGCTGTTTAAGTTCCAAAAACCAAATTCTTACTTAATTTTGGAAACACTGCCACCCAACTTTTAATAAAAAAAAACTTTATCGTTCCAAAAACCTTTTGAATCAACTACAAAGTACCCATTACTTAAGCATAAGCTACTTTGAAGTTCCAAAGCAGTTTTGGCTACGACGAAGTTTTTTTTTCACAAAAATTCGTCTGTATTTGTTTACACGAAACATCAAAACATCAGTTCGTGTTAACATTTTGTTTTGTAGGTACTTAAAAATGAAACGCAGTCGAAAAATTTATTACAGACTAACAACCAATTATTATCGAAAAGTTAAAAAAAAAATTGAAATTTATGATTCTGCAACTAATAATATTGAATATTTAAAAAATAGAAACACAATTTTTGAAAAGGAAAATCCTACATCTAGTTCCTTGGAAAACGATATAAATTCAAATACATGTGTTAATAGTGAAATTAACAAGAATATTTTGTATAAAAACTCTGCAGATGACAATGTTTTTTTAATTAACAATTATTCTTCAGAGGAAAGTGATAAAGAAATACAAAATTCGTTTGATGATTCTAATTTGTGTTTAAGTGAAGATTTACGAAAGTGGGCTATTGAAAATAATATTGCACACAGTTCAATCAACAAACTATTGGTCATCTTAAATCGACACAAAGAACGTTTACCATTTGATAGCAGAACATTACTTTGTACTCCTAACATTATTAATGTTGTGCCTATGGGAGAAGGATGTTACTGGTACTATGGCATTATTAACAACTTAAAAAATTTATGTAAAAATAAAAGGATTCCTGATTTCATAAGTTTGATATTCAACGTAGATGGCTTACCACCATTCAGGAGCTCCAACATTGAATTTTGGCCCATACTATTTAAAATAAGCGAAATAGAAGATATTGATCCCATGGTTGCAGCAGTGTATTGTGGAAAAAAAAAACCTCCTCTTGAACCATATTTTAAATGCCTAATTGATGAACTTAAAATCCTTTTAAAAGATGGATTTAAAAACAATAATACTACGACACAAATAAAAATAAAATTTTTTGTATGTGATACACCAGCACGAAGTTTTATTAAAGGTAAGTAGCTTCATTTCATTATTAAAGGTAAGTAGCTTCAGCTTATATTTTTTTATCAAAAGGAAATTCTTGATTTAAGGTACGGTGAATTTTAATTCAGCTTTTGGATGCATCAAGTGCTCAACTGTTGGAAAATATGACAGGAATGGAAGACACATGAGCTTCCCTAGAATAAATTGTGCTCTTAGAACTGATTCAAATTTTCGTTTAATGACTGACATAGATCATCACAAAGAAATTTCACCTTTAACAAACCTACCCATTGATATGGTGGAAGATATAATTGTAGCTGATTCTTTACATCTTTTTGACTTAGGTAAATGTTGCTATTTCTTGTTTTATAATATTAAAATTTGTACAATATTTTGTTTAATCTTATTTTGTATAACATAATTTCAAATTTTTCTCTTTAAGTATATTGTAGAATTACATAAATTAAATTAAATACAAAAATTATTATTGGTATTTCATAGTGTTATTGTTTTAAATCCAGTTAATTTTTGGTTTTTTTACTCCTTTTCTTATAATAAATGATGTTCTATTTTATAATTTTATTATTTAATTTTCAATCTTATTAATTTTATGTCATATATGTGTATATGTACTTATTATTGAATTATTTTTGTCTTTTACTCATGATTTTAGGTATAATGAGGAAATGTTTGTATGGCTGGGTTAATGGTAATTACAATTTTCGAACTAAATTTTCTGGAAAAGATATTGAAGAAATATCAAATTTGCTTGAAAAATTTAATTTTTATAAGCCAAAAGAAATCTGTCGAGCAATTCGCAGACTAAATTGTTTGAAAATGTGGAAAGGCACTGAATTTCGAACATTTCTGCTCTACATTGGGCCAGTAATTTTAAAACAATTTCTTTCGCCTGAAGTGTATCAGCATTTTTTAATTTTTGTGTGTGCAGTGAGGATAGTTTCATCTAAAGAACATATTAAATTTAAGAAAGTAGCACAAAAACTTTTTGCAGATTACATTGAAACGTTTATTCACATATATGGAGAAGATAGTATTAGTATGAATGTTCACAATTTGTGCCATGTTGTCGCTGATGTTAACAAATTTGGTACAATACCTTCTTTAAGTTCGTATGATTTTGAAAATTTTTTAGGAAGAATTAAAAATCTTTTGAGATCAGGAAATAAACCGCTAGAACAGATCGCTAAACGATTAATAGAAATATCAAGAATTAATGGAAAAGAAAAAATTCATCAAGATAATTACGAAATAGTTCCAGAAAAAGAAATAAAGAATACGCAGCATCCGTTACTGCAATGTTGTAAAGTCTTTAACAGAATAAACTACAAAAATAAGTTTATTTTATCAAACGAATTTAAAGACAAATGGTTTCTTACCAAATCTAATAAAATTATTTGTATGATAAATGCGACCTTCGTTAATAATGAAATACACATTTACGGTTGTCCTATAAAAAATTTGCATGATTTTTTTCTATTACCAATCAAATCTTCATATTTAGATATCTTCATATCTATGGGCCAGCAAGAAGCACCACAACTTTTTAACGCAGAAAACGACGTGAAATCAAAATTGTTTTGTTTAGAATATCAAAATCAATTTATTTATTTACCATTATTGCACAGTTATAAATAAAGAAAAAATATTTCAAATTCTAATCAAAATTTTAAAGTTTAATTTTTATTTCCAGATATAAAATAAATAAATATAAATCCAAATCTTCAAATAGTAAACAAAATTAAGTACAAGTAACTTAAATATTAATACGAAAAACAAAAATTTTCATTAACTTATTGCTCAATTATATTTTAGTATATCTACTAAAACTATCTATTTAGTGTCTACAATACATTGTGTTTTTTGATGTAATATAATTATTGCAATTTATTTTAAGTAACTTCAATTAGATACTATAATTATTCAAGGCAAAAACCAACTCTATTATCCACATTCTACCGAAATGTACAATACTGTTTAATGTGGTATATTGAAATAAAAAAATAACTATTAGCAACACAATTATAAATATTGCCATTTGTGCTGAACAGAAAAAAATTATTAATATTCACAAAAAATATTGTTGTGAGTTAAACTATGGTTCAGAATAAACTTTATTCCACATTTCCTTTTTGAGAGTTTTTTAATAAACACCTCCGAAAATGTATCAGAATAATAATCCTAAGTCTTAATTTTATTCATAACAATGTATTTAGCGATATATAAACTGTTTTTCAATTTGTTATTTAGGGCATTTTTGCTCTCAGCTCTTCGTATAACAAAATTTGCATTTTTCTAAATACTTTCTACTTATTATTATATATTACTTATTGATTATTGCTATATTGTATTTGTTATCTGAATATTTAAATACCAAGATCCTATACACATCATGTGTAGAATTTTGAAAAGTTAACTTAACATTTCTTTGTGAATTTATGGATTACAAAGTAAAATTTCTGTTCTGAACAAGCTTAGAGGTGAATTGTCTTTTTAATTTTGCAAAATGATGTCACTTAAATCCTGTAAAGTCGGTATATTTTCTTCAAGTGCATCCGTATTATTTTGACTTGTAACTATAATATTATTAGTAGTTACTTTTATTGTTTTGGACCTAAATGTTTTGAAAATATGAAATTTTTAAAATAAAATCTACTCATTATGTTCATGAGCTTACACGTCACGAGTATTTCTTTTCTTTGCGTGTTTTAGTACACCATCTTTAAATAAATTTTCAGTATCCTTCATTGTCCAATGATCATCGGCTAATAAAATAACTTCATTAAAAAGTTTAATAAATCCATTTAATGAACAAAACGAGTTTTTAGGAAAATTAGATTTAGATATTCCTGTCCAACTATAATGGGTCAAAACTTCTTTTGTGAATACCCTATCTACTACTTTATAACCTATTTTTAGACCATTTTGTTTACCTCCAGTTCCACCAAATTGCAGGAGATCCTTTATCTAAATGAAGCAAAATATTTTTAACTACAAAGTTTGCAAGGAAATAAAATATGTTTTCTTTTACCAGAAAATTTTTAAACTCAACATCACTTTCAATTTTTAAATTAGTTTTTTCAATTTCTTCACAAGATTTTAATGGAAAAATTTGCTCCACTGTAGATTTTTGCTGCTCTTTATCGGCTCTTGAGATAATAAAATCATTCTTTTCCGTTAAAATTTTATATATTTTATCTAAATTTACATTGGTTTTTATGAATTCTTCTTTTATTATCTGCACCTCAATTTTTATACTTTGAATACATTTTTCCAAATCCAGAATTTTTTCTTGCATTTCAAAAGTTAGGAAGCATTCATTGCTTTGAGCAAAGTTAACTTGGTCCGAATTTGAAATTTCTTGAGCAGTTTCTTCTGCAATATTGCATTCAATCAAAGAGTTTATTGTTGAAAAATCATTTTCCAAAACTTCTTCGATCATTTTGTTTCGATCTGGTGCAGTCAGAGAGCAATTTTTTAAAGAAGCTTTTTTTATATGCCTTTTTTGCTTGAAATTTGAGGATAATCTAAAAATGAAATTTAGCTTTAGTGAAATTTCAAAAAAAAAATAAAACAATATGTTCTTACACTTGTTCACTTTCCGTATCCGTACAATTTGCAAGATTGGCTTCAATTTTAAGTGCTTCTGAGAATGAGGAAATGTTACAAAATTTTACTACGCATTCATAAGTATCCCAGTTTGAATCAAAATCTGATAAAGCTTTACTTCTCAGGTTTTCTCTTTTAAGTGCTGAAATATTCGTTGGCCAATATAAAATTCCATTTCTTTCCCATTTACTTGGAATTGCCGTGAAATAAGTATCACCATTTTCCTTGGTGGATACTATTTTGTATGTTCCCGACATTATACCAACAGAAATAAAAGAAGATTGAATCTAATGCGCTTTTAAGCTATACAAAATGAAAACATAAACAATAATTTTTAAGTGTCAATCAAAATTATCAATATGTCAATATGTGTTCTCCCGCTCACTCCAAGTATGCTTTCCTTTTTAAACTTTAGGTGGCGAAGTGGGTCTATGTGGTACTAAAAACTTTTTAGTGACATATCACACATTGTGACTCAAAGTTACGTTGCAGGGACTTTCTTTATCCACTTTGTCACATTGTGGTACCAAAAGCTGGTTTTGGTTACCATGAAGTTGCAAAAGGTTGAAGTAGACATTTTACTTTTTATATATACAAAATTCAATAAACACAAGGGTTACCATTTTACTTTATTAGCAATTGTTATAGAAAACTGAAATATTTTATAAATAACATAATAGCGTTTTAATAAGTAAGTCATATGAAATTACTTTATAGATTTATGCTACAGAAATAAAATAATGATAAAAAACTTTTTTCAAAATTTTATATGCATATTGTATGAACTTATTATAATTGAATGTTTAAACAGTAATCAAAAATATTTCAATTAAAAAAAACTTAGAATCGTTCATTATAATTATAATTAGATTAAACAAAAATATCAATTTTTCAAAGCATTTTTTAGCATCATTATTACGTTTTATCTGCAGCTACTTGAGCTTGAGTTAAATTTTTTGGCATCTATAGCTTTGGCATAAACGCCAAGAAATTAAAGTTGGCTTAAATAGCTGACTTTTTTAAGCTCGAGCTTATAAACGCTAATATGAATTAGAAATTTTACGAAATCGTATTTATCAATATATATTAAATCAATAATTATCAATATCATATTTATCAATAAAATTTTGTTCGCAGTACAAAAATATTGAAAAATATCCGAAGAATTAATTTCTAAAAACCTATGATATTTATTTTACAAAAAAAAATATTAGGTAGACATAACTTTTTCTGACATTTTATATTTTTAATTATACATCATAAGAGAAAAGAGTAGCTTTTCAAAAAATTAAAATAAATTTGTGTAATAAATATCTTTCTCTTTCATTCCTATTATAAGTATTGTTATACAGAAAAAATTTACATGTCTGTGTAAAGTGCCGACAACCACACAAAGACTAAACAGGAACGTTTATGTTATGAGTACGGGCACGTTATTTTGTAGCAGAAAGGCACTCAATATTTGTTCCCCATTTTGGTACCAGGCACGTAGCTGCTGAGTTCCCGTTGAGTAGCAATAACATATCGCAATTACTTTATCGTTCCAAATTTAGTGACAGTTTACGTTCCAGTCTACAAAAATGCTGCTTGGGGAATATCTTGCAATTTAATATTTGAATTCTGGTTATTACCAGAAGTTACTGACGAAATTTTGGTATAATTCGGACGGCATTAAATGAAACTCTCCTAAGAACCAAATTCACATTTTGAATGTTAACTACAAGCTTATTGGTGTCCTTAATATTGTAAAGAAGTGTTTAAAAGCCATTTTCATAACCTTATGGAATACTTTTAGTTAACTAGATAATACCCATTGCGGTCGGTTATGTGCTGACCACATCAGGTTATTTTGTTATGTCAAGGTATTAGTACTTCCACAAATTCGTTTTTAAATTGTTGCGCAATATTTTTTCATAATAGATGAAATTTAGATTATCGATTAATATTTCACTACTTACGTACTTTGAATGTATGTACTATGTTATACATAACAGCAATATGTACTCGTAACTGGTATATACTTTCGACATATTCTAAACTTGTAATTTATTTATCACTAAATTTTAAAAATAGCTATTAATATGCTATAATAGTTTTTATATGTATATAATTGGTGTTTTTGTTTTTAGCATATGAAAATATATTTATTGGTTATTAGCTCTATCTGTGCGTTTATCGTTCTCCCATTTACTCATCTATTTAGCTGTTTGGAAAATTTTTACCTCATTGAAAATGAAGATAAGATTGGCCTTTGTAAATTTACTCGACAACTAAGAAATGTTATTTGCTTTCGGGTTCCAGAATTGACCCTTTCAATCAAGGTCAATCTTCATCTGAAACTGGTTTTCTGCAAATTTTTTGAAGTAATATCTCTCATGTTTCTATTCAAATGAATTTTCAATTAACATGTGAATAACCTATAAATATCTTAAGAATAAATTGTAAATTTTAACCTTTTGTCTGCGAAGTTAAAATGTGATATTTTTAAGAATCAAATGTTCTTTTATTTTTAATTTTTTTGGTAAAAAGGATCTGTAAATTAAATTTGGTTAATATTATCGAAAATATGTGCCAAATATCCTTTAGTTGAGACAAAAACACAGTAAGTAAATTGAAAAAGTCATTGCGAAACCTTTCTGGACATTGAGTTTTACATAATAAAGCATCAAAAACAGCCTAAAGCATTCATTATAAGAATGTTTCCAAATTCGATTTTATTATTTAATTTTTAACAAAATTTGTTAGAAAAACTCCAATAATATTATAAAAATTTTAAACTGAAGTTATTACACAAGAAATTGTATATCCTTCTTTAATTATCGATTTAATATTACACACTTTAATTAATTATTTTGGCCGTGACTTACATAAATAACTTTATTATATATATGTGTTATATATGTATTTATGTGCATATTAAGTTTCCCATACATTTAATAGAAGTTATAGAAACTAACATTTAATTGTTATAGAAACTAATAAAAATTTGGTTACTAAAGTATGTATGTATATTTTCCATGTGTTTATTTTTACAATTACGAATATAAATTCAGTTTGGAAAAACGGCAGAATATTATAAAGATAAAATTAATGAAACGAATGAATTCAGTCATAAACAGTTATTAGAAAACTTTGGAGCTAACGGGACATTGGTAACAGACATGTCCAATGATCAAGGTATGTAAATATAATAAATATACAAAAATATTTATGTTTAATTAGTTTACTATTTAAAATTTTGAATTTTATGCTTTTAAAATATTTTTTTTATTTTAAAAGTTTTCATTTTAATAATAAAAAAATATTTTAGTTTGTTTTATCCGAGAATAATAGTTTTTTCATTTACATAAAATTATGCAGGTAGTAAATACTCATATTATTCCTCAGATTTATTAAAAATTTTCAAATTTTCAAATTTTAGTTTAAAGAATTTGAATTTGAAAATTTTAAAAATTTTATTTTTTTTATATGCAATAGAATTTTAAAAGAAAATTCTATAAGCATATAAGGCTTTTAAGTGTAAATATATGTACACTTAAATAGCTTTTTAGCTATTGAATGAAAAATATTATTTTGTGCTATAAGAATTTTTGTTGTTTTCCTGCTACTCAAAAAATGTTTTTTATTTGGTTTCTGCTTAAAAGAAATAATTAACTTTTTTTTGAACGACGAATGAAGAAATCCTTATCACATAGTTAAATCCTTATCACATAGTTAGTTTTTTGAAGAAATCCTTATCACATAGTTAATTTATTTTCAGAATGAATGGAATTTTAGCGAACTCTAAAATATAACAGATTCCTGAATTCTGATTGAATATATTTTGCAAGTTTTAAAAAAAAGTGTTTTCCAACTTATTTTTTATCCTAGGTACAGGGAAATTAAATTTATAATATGTACCTACATATGTACATATATGTCATTTTATTTGCATTTTGAAATCAAGATCTTGCTTTAAGCATCAAGGGTTTCATATCGACAATTTGTCAATCTACAAGGAAAAATTAAAGAAATACATTGTATATAATAGAAATCAACGAATGTTTCAGGTCTGGAATCTTAACTCTAATTTTGATATTCAAAAAATATTGTCTTAAACCCTTTTTATTATTTTTATTACTTATTAGATAATTTTATTAAATGCATATTTAAAATTTATTGTGTTATACAGCATAAAAATTATATAGCTTAAATTTTATTCAATTTTTATAATTGTATGTTTCGACTTTTTCTTTTTGAAAAGAATTTATTTGTTGTACATACATACATATGTTTGTAATTAAAACTCAAAAATTTATAAATAGCATTAATTAGATTTGGCGGTAGATATGTATAATCTTTTGTTAAGTGTTTTCTTTTTTTGAGATTAAATGGCTCAGACTGGGATCTAAATTGAAAACAACTAAAAGTTTGCGAACAAGAAGGTTCGCTTTCATATGTCATGTTACGAGGACTTATTAATTTTTTGGACTTTTATCGGACGAAAACTTAATTTTTTGTTGACATTTTCGGTATTTTATTACATCTAATCAGTTCAATAATTATCACATTTTCCCCCATCGATCTATCTTAACATGCAGGTCTTACATAAACGCTTTTACATAAATTCTCTTTTGTAGTAATTACTTTCTTAACCTCGCTAATCGCCACTAATAATGAAGCATGTCAATAATATTCTTAAGTTTCCTACCATATTGTAGCGATGAATTAAGAGAGTCACTTCCTTTTAGTTATTAATATTTTCTCTAAATTTGCATATGATTGATATTGACACACTTAGCAACCATCGATATTGGAAAACCAAGCCGAATAGTGTCTAGCCGAGATTCGGCTTTTGCTTCTAGATTATTTGAGAAATATTAAAAAAAGTAATAGGACTTATAATTTTAAGAGAAGAGAGAGGTGGAAATGAGATAAAAAATGCAATTTCAAAGTTTGTCATAATTACAAACTGCAACGAAAACACAGGAAAAATATTTCCTAAATGACACTAAACAGGAGAAACAACGGGAATTGAGATAGTGAAAGATATAAAAGAATTGTAAGACCTTTAACTGTATGAAGGGACCTATAGACTGCCATTGAGTTGTTGACTTGCTTGCAAAATATCTCAACCAGTACGAAGAGGGACTAAAATTTAAGCCAAATATTAAAATACGTATAATGTATTGGGTGGGAAGTCTTAGTGGAAATGAGGACCATATAAGTACATCACCGTTCGCGAACTTTATGAAAATATTGGTTAACTATTCGAGACCACAAAAAAAGGCCAGAAATTTTCGGCTACGCAGAATTACTGCTGAAAAAGAAATTGTTATAGCATGTATGTTTTTGCTTCCACAGATTTGAAACTAATTTGGTTTTTTTCGTCAGAATTTTTTACTA